CTGTGTGTGAAAATCTTAATTGCTTTTTAAAAGTGAGGGCACGATTTTCATGTGATTAACTCCATTTAAACCCCATTTAAACTCTCAATTTCCCCCCATGTAATAAACCCCTGTGTCAAGACTCTTGTGAGAAAAATGCGAACCACCACAAGATTTTTCACTCTTGAGAACAAGCAAAACATTCACTGCCTCTTTTTGTGTGTGTGTATGTCCATAGCATCAGTGGTGAAAAGCTTTGGGCTTGTTGTAAAATAATGTAGGTTTTTGTGTAAGAAAAATTTGAAAAATATTTTTCAAAAAAGTCTCAAAATACATCCCCCCCACACAAAAAAACTTCCAAAAACATGTGCAAACTCGTAATCTTTCCCAGTGGTGAGAAAACTTGAATTTTTAGATTCTCCGGTACAAGAAAGAAATAAGTGACAATTAACATCCCTAGGGACTTGGTTTAGAATACAGATTTAAGGATTCATCACCATCATCAACATCTGTAAATATACCAAAGTATTTCCAAAGAACCAAGACTCATGGCAGCTTTAAAGAGGAAACAGATCCTACAGATGCACAGTACCTTTTCAGAGGATAGTGAAGTAATTTGTATAAGCTCTAGGGAACCAAGGGTTGTTGTTAATAATAATTTATAAGATGGCATTTGATCAGTTTTCTGTGCTTCAGTTTTGATCTGAAGCAAGCTCAGGAACTGAGCCCAGTTGATAATTGAAAAGGCAGTCTGCATGTTCTCAGGAGCATCTTCTGTATCCATCTTCAAAGATTGCATAGACCTTGGCTGATATTTTTAAAAGATATAGAAATTATGATTTAAAAAATAATAATGTGTTTCTCAAATGATGTTCAGAAACATTTTGAAGCGAGGACACAAATGATCTCATCACTATAAAAAGGAATGCTCAGGGGATTAGATCAGTGTTCTGTTGTTGTTGTTGTTGTTGTTGTTGTGTGCCTTCAAGTTGTTTCTAACTTTTGGCAACTCTAAGACAAACCTATCATGGGTTTTTCTTGGCAAGATTTGCTCAGAGGGAGTTTGCCATTGCTTTCACCTGAGGCTGAGAGCATGTGACTTGCCCAAGTTACCCAGTGGCTTTCATGGACATGCTGGGAATGGGAAAAATAAGAGGAAAACAGAAATTTTGTCCTTTAAAAATCACACTGCAAATCAGGAAAACCCAAACTGTAATGAGGAAAATTTATAATCAATGAAACAAAATCTTTATAGTTACAAACTCTAATTTTTTTTAAAATGGTTGCCAACTTTTTTGTTTACTCCTGCTCTCTTGCCTTTAATAGCAATAATAATAATAATAATAAAAAGAAGAAGAAAAAGAAGAAGAAGAAGAAGAAGATTCTCCGGTACAGAATTATCAGAGATAATTCTACCAGCTGAAGCTCAGCTCCTATCCAGATTCATTGTGATTGGGTGGACTATAAATAAATTAATAATAATAATAATAATAATAATAATAATAATAATAATAATAATAATAATAATTTATTTATTTATAGTCCACCCAATCATAATGAATTTGGATAGGAGCTGAGCTTCAGCTAGTAGAATTATCTCTGATTCCCAATAGTAGTTCCCCATGCTGATTTCTGTAAACTAAATTGTAAAAAGCTCAAGTACATATTTGGATTTTTTTTCAACAACAACAAGAACAACAATAATAAAATTTATTTATACCCCGTCCCTCTGCCAAGCAATCGGGGCGGCTTACAACATTAAAATCCAACAAATATTACAACATTACATAAAACCTAAGAATCCCCGAACCCACCCACCCCTTAAAAAGTATTGAACACATTGTATATTAAAACATATTAAACATATTAAAACAACTTGAACAGCTCAGGCAGCCTGTATCAAACAGCAGCATCTGTTTCTTTCTTCACAGCTAGCAACTATATTTAGTTGTGGCTTCCAAAGGCTTTCCATAAGGGCCTGAATAGAGTTGTCGTGGTAGAAAATGCTCATTCTCTCTCCCCTCATCCCTTTTGTACTCTCCTTTCAGGCCCATCGTTGATCTTATGGGCACAACAGAGACACAGTCAGAACCCTCAGAACTTGAGTTGGACGATGTGGTGATAACAAATCCTCATATTGAAGCGATTCTGGAGAATGAAGACTGGATTGAAGACGCTTCGTAAGTTGGGCTACATATAGCCTCTCAGGCAGCATAGTGATTTAAATGTGTGTGGAGTCTCCTTCTTTGGAGGCCTTTAAACATGGGCTGGATGGCCATCTGTCAGGGATGCTTTGATTGTGAATTCCTGCATGGCAGAGGGTTGGACTGGATAGCCCTTGGGGTCTCTTCCAACTCTAGGATCTATGATTCTATGACTTAATGCAGAGTAGCATTTAACAATTTTTTCCTAGCACTCATTCAGCAATGTGAGCAGTGCAAGAGCCACCACAAGAATATTAGCAAAACTACATTAGAGAATAGTATCCTAAAATTTGACTTAGGACATACACACACTGCAGTGTTATAGTGGAAATGGAACATCAATGTTTAACTGCCACTTTAACTGCCATGGCTGCATTGTATGAAATCCTGGGGCTGATAATTACTGATAATTAATTAATAATAATTGCTGTTTAGGGAGTACAATAGTGAATAATAGGTTTCTCATCAAACTATACATTCCAGGATTGATTTTCCCATACACACACACACACCCCAGCCAGCCATTCGATGTCAGTCCTCCTTCAAAGTACAGTGGGCCCTTGGTACCTGCCGGGGTTTGGTTCCAGGCCCCCCATGGATAACAAAATCTGCGGATGCACAAGTCCCGTTGTATACAATGGCATAGTAAAATGGTGCCCCTTAAATGGTAAAATCAAGGTTTGTTTTTTAAATGTATACAGTCACCCCTCCGTTTTCACGGACTTCGAGTCTGCATCCCTCAAACAGAAGGGGAGAAGATGGGGTGTGTGCCCCCATTCAAGCCTATGAGGCTTGAATATTTGCAGTTTTCTGTTTTTGCAAGGGTCCAGAACAGATCCCCCACAAAAACAGAGGGGTGACTGTATATATTTAAAATATTTTCAAGCCATGGGTGGTTGAACCTGTGACTGAAGAATCCATGGATATGGAAGGACAACTGTATCATTAGAGGCTGTGAAACATGTTACATGCCACTTTTCTGTCCTCCCCTCCCTTAGATGTTGTGAAATCATAGCATGTTCATTTCCATTCCAACTGCTCAGGGGAAAGAGCCAGCAGTGGAATATTTAGAAACAGCCTTCCTTGTGTGAGGAAAAGAAAATTATCAAAATGGTTGGGAACCCAAGGGAAAGGAGGAGCACTGTGCTTTGGCCAAAGAAGGTGAACGCTGGGGAACTGAATCGTAAGCAGCGGTCCTGAACGCAAGACCCCTTTTTCGTGTTTAGGCTGACGGTAAAAATGAAGGAGTTGTGGGTGAACTTTACATGGTTCCTGTTAAAATGTCACATTGCTTTCCTAACTTGATGCTCCCTTTTTCTCCCTCAGGGGCCTGGTCTCCCACTGCATTGCTATTCTAAAGGTAAATCTTTCCTTTGAGGACCTCACACTGTCAGTGTGCCAAGTCCTAAAACAGTGTAAAATAAAATAAAGTCCCAAAAACACAGGCTGGAATCCTGTTGGGCATAACCTAGAGTTATGCACTTGTGTCCCTTTCGTATTCACAGTCTCTATGTAATCCCTAGTTTAGGGAATACATAGGGACTGAAAGTCCCCTAATCCTCAGTTACCAGGCAGCAGCAACTGTAATTGATGGGAGTTTAATTTCCTGTCCTTTGGTAAGCATGGGAGGGATAGTTTCGGGAGGTGATGGAAATTTCAGTTAGCTACTCCCCAAGTGACAAAGGAACAGCATTTGATGAGTGATGAATGATCATCTCACGCAATGCATTGGATATTGCTAATTGTTGTGCTGATGTATGTGTGTGTGTTTTAATGATAGATGTTTTAACTTGGTTTTAATTTTTGCTCCTGCTTGTTTAATTGTGTTTTGACATTTGTATTTTGTGGATTTTTAACAATTTTTTTAATTGTTGTAAGCTTCTTTGAGTCCCAAAAATATGGGATAGAAATAATAATGATAATGCCTGGTAACCAGTTTTTTTGGGGGGACTGGGATAAGATTCACTTTGCAGCTTTGTAACCGTGGCACTTACAGCTTCCTAAGTCCCCAACAGGATTCAGGCCATGGTTGTGATACTCTTCTTAGGCCAACTAAAAGGCACAAAATGCATTACGCAAGTTTTCAAAGCTCACAGTATTTCTCATCAGGTGTGGATGTTAGAAGTCTTTTTAGAGGAAGAAATATGACAATAGAGGATCACAGATGTGTATCTTTTTTTGAGATGCTGGAGCTGAATTTAAAATAGTAGGGGAAGGAGGTTTGATGCAGGCAAAAGTTGCACCCCGTATGGGCCATGAGACAATTGGGACACAAAGGCAAGCATCTCCATTTTTAGAAATTAAAGGCATTTCCATTGAGATCTAGCCTGTCAGCTTCAAAAACTTGTGCAATGCATTTTGTGCCTTTTGATTGGCCTAATAAAAATATCAACACACATGGTCAACATGCCTTTGCCTGGATATATATTTTATTAGAATGGTGTGTGTGTGTATATATGCATGCATACATGTATGTTCTTCCTAGGAGATGTACTATTCTCTATGTAGCAAAAATATAGTTGGGGGAAATAATAAGCACACCCCCAGCCTTCACATCAAGCAGCGCTGACTTGATTCACTTTTTGGACAGATCTGTCACACCCTCACAGAGAAGCTTGTGGCCATGACAATGGGTTCGGGGGCTCAGATGAAGTCTCCAGCTAGCCTCAATGACATCATTGTGGTTGCCAAGCGGATCAGTCCCAGGTGAGAGTTGTCGGAGCAGATGCCAAACAAAGGGGAGGGATTATTAAAGGGTGGGTTAGTTAATGGCTCTTCCATCAGTGGAGGGGTTTGAGATGGGAACATGCTGAACCTGGATAGTGGTGTAGTGGTTTGAACACTGGACTATGACCCTGGAGATCAGGGTTCAAATCCCTGCACAGCTGTGGAAACCCCTTCGGTAAGTCACTCTCTCTCAGCCTCAGAGGATGGCAATGGCAAACCCCCTCTGAAGAAACATGCCAAGAAAACCCCATGATAGGTTCGCCTTAGGGTTGCCATAAATCAGAAACAACTTGAAGGCACACAACAGCAACTACAACAAACAGCCCAGATAAGGATGGGGGAAAAATCTGCATACATCTTAGAAACAATTTAATAGGCAGCAAAATGCCTTTGTCTGATGTAATGGTCTTTTTATATCTAATTAACACTCCACAATATTTTGTGCATGAAGCAGAGAATGCATCCATCATCTTACCCCATGTTGCAAGCACAGAAACCGTCCTTCAACTGAAATCTGAATCTTCATTACAGGTGACAGGACACTGCATTTCTGCTGTACTTAAGCCACAGCAGGACAACATAGGGAATGTAGGACAGTTTTTCAGAAAGCTAAAAAAATTGTCAGCAATAACTAACAAACAAACTGAGAGGGAGCATTAAATAAACCTCGTGCTAACAGAGTAATGGCTAGGGAGGTTTGATATGTTTATTTAAAAATAAAAAAATATTCATATATAGTGATATGGTTTTATCTGTAAGGGCTTGTGTCTGTGCATAGGAATTTCAGCACTAATTAGAAAAGTGGTTAAAAATAACAGTACACTGATAAAATTATGCTAACAGGAAAGGTAACAGTGAAGTGCTTCCCAAAGTGTAACTGCATGGTGATAGACTCATCTACCCATGTATGTTACTACACATGTCAGAGTAATGCCTTTTTAAACTGATGGTGATGATGCTAAATTGGGTTGTTGGTGGATCCCATGTCAGTGGTGCAGTGAATCCACCCCTTGTTTTAATCCAGCTTTCAATGGAGGTCTCCAAGGTGCTGGACCTGGTTCCTAAGTAAGCTGAGCACTATGGATAGCCCCTTTAAAGGTAGTCACAACATGGAAGATGTTCACTGCCCCACCAGCCAGCACTGGTGGTAAAGAGACCTGTACCTGTACAGCTTGTACTGCTCTTCCATAGATCCCTTAAAAGTCAAATGTTCTGTTGTCTGAGGGAGAAAACAACATCAACAGCAGAGAAAGAATACAAGAGAAGCACAATTTGATGTTGGTGTCACATGGATGGCCTGTGAAAGATGAGTGAACAAAGTGTGGCAATTCTAGAGAAACAATGTGGAAGCACCACCCTAGGTTGTACTGACTAGAATATATTATGTAATAAATATATTATCTGTCTGCTTGCCCCACTCTTTCTCTCTTTAGTTGTCCTTATTTATTTATTTACACACTACTTGTTAGAAAGACATTGAAGGAGTCATGCCTGCACCTTATTTATTTTGTGTGTGTGTGTGTTTTAAATCCCAGGGTGGATGATGTGGTCCGATCCATGTACCCTCCATTGGACCCTAAACTTTTGGATGCCAGGTGAGTACATTACATTTGGATTAACCATACATGATCTGGATGGCACTGGGCATTTAAAAATTCCAGTAGTGGTTGTACATACCAAAAATAAAAAAAGAGGTCAGATTCATAACAAAGGTTGCTTTGGTTTAAAAAATTTTAAACTCTAAAGCTGTCTTCAGCAAGAGAGGAGCTAAAGTGAGGAAGGGAGAGGAGCATGTTATCAGAAGGGCTACAGAGATAGAATAAACCCCTTCATTCATGTTCCAGGGATCTCTAACAAGTAGAGTAGGAATTGGATTATACTCTGAGCTAAACAACATGTTGCATAAAATACCTATTGGGCAAGGTATAATCTGTCCTCCCCCTTTCAAGTTTGCATGGCTCTATGGGGACTTGTACTTATTTCACCACTAGGTCTCATATTATCAGCAACCTTGAACCACTGCTGCTGCCACCAGCACCGTATGTCTGAGCTCAACCACTCCAATAGCACTATTGTAGCATCTCAGAGAAGTATGTGTGTGTATCTACAAGTTTCCTGTCAACTTATGGCGACCCCATGCACTCTTGGGAATTGTAGGATAGTAGAAACGATTTGAAGGATCTACATACCCTAAAGCAGGGGTAGGCAACCTTTTTGAGCCGGGGGCCGGGTTGCTGTCCCTCAGACAATTGACGGGCCGAAGCACCAAAAATAAATAAATAAATAAATAAAAATTAAAATTGAAAAAGAATTAAAAAATTTTTAAAAAATGCATGCGCACTCTCTCAGCCCCAGAAAAGCCATGGCAAAACCCCTGTGAAGATTTTGCCAAGAAAACCCCAAGAACAAGTAATAACAACAATAATCAATATCATCATGGGGGGGCGGCGGCGGTGGGGGGGGCGGCGGCGGCAGGACCGGTTTGGGGCCGGTCCAAAGGCCTTGCTGGGCCACATCCGGCCCCCGGGCCTTAGGTTGCCTACCCCTGCCCTAAAGGCTCAAGATCCTGTCTGATCTTGAAAGCTAAGCAAAGTCAGGTCTAGTTAGTACATGGATGGGAGACCTCCAAAGAATATGAAGTGCTGTCGGTTATATTTCAAAGGAAGGAACTGGCAAAACCACCTTGGAGTATTCCTTGCCTAAGAAAACCCTATGAAATGTGTGGGGTTGCCATAAATTGATATGTGGCTTGAAGGCACACACAGAGAGAAAAGGTCTGAGATGTATAGTATGTGCTCTAGAGTTTAAAATAGTTTTGAAATACAACCCCCAGATCCCACAAGCACTGGTTATGCTGTCCAAATAGGACCCTCCCCCCCACGTTCCACATATTTCAAGGGAGACAGACACACACACACACATTTCAGTGTTGCTCCCTGTGATCTGTATAATGTGTTTGTGCAAATGTGTCCTGAACAAATCGTCTCATCAGCTTAGATCTGATTGCAGGAAGAGAATGGCGCTCATGGCTGAACTGAAAATCTTTTGCCTTGCTCCCATTTTGACCAACCCACTTTCCTTTCTAGGACCACAGCGCTGCTGCTGTCAGTGAGCCATTTGGTCTTGATCACACGAAATGCCTGCCACTCTCCCAGCCGCATGGACTGGATTGACCAATCCCTCTCTGCAGCAGAGGAGCACATGGCTGTGTTGCACGAGGCAGCCCTTGCCTCCGAACCAGAACGTGGTGTGCCCAGTGCTGAAGGCTTCCTGCAGGAGCAGTCTACTATTTGAGAAAGACATCTGAAGCCATCGTTACAACTTCTCCATCACTGCAGCATCATCTCCGTCACTGCAGCTTCTCTGCCCTCACCTGGCATCACTGGCATAAATGCAGAGTTTACACCACCTCCTGCAGAGCCTAGTTTGGCTGAATAGGTCGAATCCCAGAGCTGAGTTTCTGCTCTGCTCCTGCTGCTTTCTGCCTTTTTATAACTTTGTGCTGCTCTCCTATATACAGACTAGTGGCATCAAAACAACTTAAAATATTAAGAGTGGGGCTGAGTGGAGGAGAAGCAGGGTAGTTTCTTGGCAGTGAAATCATTTAGTTGTGGCAGTTGTTGCTTTAAAAGTAAATCAGGAAAATGGGACATACTGAATTCTGAAAATCATATGAATGGGTAAGAGTTATTATTGGTATGCCTGAGAATTTGATCACATACCCAGTTGGCATTTTTGACATAAAATAACACATCCCTTCTGCCACTATCACAGGATGCTTTAGAAATTCTCCTCTGATCCTTGGCATGCAAAACAAAATATGTAGTTCTTTCAATTCTAGTCTGTATCCCTAATGTTCTATTTATATATTTTGTGATCCACTTGCAGTCTAAACTGGTGATTGTAGAGAGCTGAAAAGTTGTAGGAAATTCTCATCTTAATCCAAATTGCTTTTTGGAAAGAAAAAAAAAGATAGTATTACTTAGTTCTATTTCACACTACATGGTTATCACACTTTGATATGATTTTAACTGCCATGTCTGCATCGTATAGAATCCTGGGATTTGTAGTGTCATGGGCATTAGAGCTTTCTGCCAGAGAATCCTAAATACTGTACCTCACAAAACTACACATCGCAGCATTCCACAGGAAAGTGCTGGGGCAGTTAAAGCAGGATCAAAGTGTTTTATTTGTGTTGGTTGGTTGAGACCTCCTATGCAAAAACCCTGCCTGATTTCTCTCCCTTTGGTATACAAATTTTGTAACTTTAGCTTGCAGATAATCTTTTCTATCCCACCCCCTGGCCATCCAATCCGCATATGGTTTCCACATGAATCCATGCTGCACAGCTATTCCTTACCTTTTTTAAATCTTGGGTTAAGCCCAGGCCCAACCCAGAATATTTTAGGGCCCAAAGTGGAACTGCAAAAGCCACCTTCACCTCCCAAGCCAAGACTGGCCAAGTTATATTGGCACCTGAGGTTAAAAACAAACCAACCATCTCCCTAAAAATGTAACTGTTCAATAATTTGCTGCTCTTTCATGACTCCTACAGTCACCTGCCTGAGGTGGCTATTTCTCACCCTTGAGAGAGACAGCGTAGTATAGTGGTTTCAGTATTTATGACTGTGAAAAACAGCGTTCTATTTCTGCATAGCCATGGAAACCCATTGGGTGACCTTGGGCAAGTCACGTACTCTCAGCCTCAGGGGAAGACAATGGCAAGCCTCCTCTGAACAAATCTTGCCAAGAAAACCCCATGTTAGTGCCACCATAAGTCAGAAACAATTTGAAAGCACAATAGTAGGGCTGGCCATGAAATACCCTTCCCCTCCCCCTGTCAAGCCCATGCCTGATGCTAAATTTAAAGATGAAGAGGCTCAGTTCAATTCCATCTCTTACCATTAGACATGGAAGTCTCTTCATACCAAAGTCTGGATGGATGATTCCATTGGAGTTTATCACATAGGAGGGAACCCGTGAAAAACAGGATTTAAACCAGAAAAAATCCACAAAAGCTGATTGATTTTTCAGACGATGTCAGGGTTAATGAGCGTTAACGCAACATTAACCCAGACAGAAAGTCGATAAAACGCACTGCTTTTTCACTTTTGAAAAATCCTGAAAGTAAAAAGTGGCGCATTTTGTTGACTTTCTGTTT